TGATGTCAGCTCAGTCCTCTCCTATCTGTTTTTTTTTCTACCTCTTGGTCACTTATCATCCTATAAATTTGACCAATTTACTGTATATTGTACTTGTACTTCATATGTTTTAACATGATTAAATCATTTCTGTATTTTTGTCTCTTCTGGGGGCAGAGGAAGGGAGGATTCTGATCATTAATTTAAAGATGTCTGCACGAAAACTAATATATTTAATTTCATATTTTTAACATAAGTTACATTACACACTGCTTTTTATTAGACCCTTATCTTTCCAACATCCTTCCAGTGGCTTTACCCCCAATAATAATTGTATTACTACCTGATCAAAGGGAAAGACTAGCTGCTTTAGCTGCTTCACTCCAGTTTACTTAATCCTGTTTTGTCTTTGCTCGGGTCATTTGGCTGTATTCAAAATTACTTTAGCTTTTGCACTGTTCTCTGCATCTACAAGGAAAACAAACTGGGCTTCTATCTATTAAAGCTGGGCTACTGGCCAACTTTTCTTATTTCATAAAGCGTCCATGCGTCTGTTTGGTAAAACAAAAAAGCCACAACATAATTTCTTCCCACTCCTTTTTTAAAGCTTTGACAGGTGTGAAAAAGATAAAACCTTAAATATATGTGTGTACATTTTTATCCATCTATCATGTATAATGTTTAGTTGCTGTAAATTCAATAATTGATTCCTGTTTATAAGCTTAAAATTAAATCTGATAAATCATTCTTTAGCAGACTTAGAAAGAGACCTATGAGCTGAGTGAGGGTGGTCCTCTTTTCCCAACATTTCTGACGGAAAAAGCTGATGTGACTTAGGCCAAAACAATGGGTCACTCGTAATGACTTATTGTTGAAACGAGGTAACACGAGGTAAGAGAGCGAGGAACTGGTGAGGCAGACTTATGACAGTTAAATTAATGGCATTTGTGGCATTCTCTGCGGTCAAGTCCTTGAGCACGACAATGCTCCAGCCCTGACCTTGTTTTAATGTTGTCGGTGAGGCCCTGAGTACCAGCCGCACGTCTGCAGAAGTCTTTATATTTCAGCAAAATATCTCTCAATTTCAATCTATTGTGTCCTATATCATCAATTATTAAAGGAAAAATTAAAAAACTAATGTTGTTAAGAATCATCTAACTAATCATCTAACAGGTATAAAATATTGACTTAAGTCTATTTGAATGAGTGGTTAGAATGTTCTCCCCATGTCTCCTTAGGTTTGCTCCAGGTGCACCGGTTTTCCCTACCACTAAAACCATGTACAATAAATGTTCAATATATTTTCACCATTTTTTTTCATGCATGCCTTTTTATATATAAATCTTTACTTTAGGGAAATGCTTTGGCTCATGGTGCAACTTGAAGAGGCACTCGAATGTAGAGAATTCTGGTTTGAATTAGCTTTCTCTGCATCTGAGTTTCTCTGACTTTTAAAACATCTGCTACAACTAGATTTAATGACAAAGTTTTCAACATGACTCATTTGTTTTGACAATAAACAAGTTTCCTATTGCTGATAAAACTTTGAGTCATAATAAGCCATAAACTCTCAAAAATAAGTCAAACTATGCTTTGACAACTCTACCACAATAAAAACGCATATTAGCTGTTTCGCTATAAAAGCCGCAGGGATCCAAAAGCTAGAAAAAATAAGTGGTTTATAGTCCGGAATGTTTTTTTAATTTACTGTTAAGCTTCCGTGGTTTTTTTTACATAGAGGTCAGTTTCAAAGGTTACAGCGTCTTTCTAACTTATTCACTGCTTACACGTGTTAATTAAATGCTATTTACCTTTTATTTAACCAAATGTTCTACTGTGTATGTGTGTGACTGAGACTGGGACTATATTTAGTTTTGGGAGAACTGCTTGAAATCCTGCATGTCTTTTCTAGTAGTACCAAAAAGTTTTGTATGTAAAATGGAATTCACTTTGGATATAACCCAAACAAATTTACGAGAGTTATGAAAATCACTCAATTGTAAACGTACGGTTCTTCTAAAATGGTATAAAACATTGAGTGTAACAATGAGGAAAAGGTCTGTACAAAAAGGTGCAAAAAACCATTGTCAGTACCTCCATCTTAAACAGCTGTAAATGTTATCAGCATTCACAGCTACTTATCTTGTCCCTATCAAATAAGAAAAATCTACTCTATATATTTTTTGTGTCTTCTAATACACCTGTTTTTCCCCACTCAGGGACCCTTTTGCTATCTTCAGCCCAAGATGACCTGCCACAGTGATTTAAAATAAGAAGAAAAATACCTAAATTAGGGTCCAAAATGGGAACAATGTCAAGTTGTTAGTCATAAAAAATCAGGATTTGTTATTTTTTTATTTAGGGCATTTTGTAACACTGTGGTGGGTCAATTTGACTCAGGATAGTTCTTAAGAGGATAGGATCTTAAAATGGGAGGTTTGATAGCCATGGGGACAATCAGACTAATACTAATTGAAACGTATCCAGGCCTAGGCCTGTCCACAGCCATAAAGACGGGGTTGCCCTTTCTCTCCTGCGTAATGAAAACCCTCCCTTACAGAGTGTATATATAGGAGTGAGTGTGTGGGGAGCAGCTGCCGGGACTGGGCCTTCGCCTCGGTCACATGTGGCACATACCGCCACACACTGCTCTCTTAAGGAAAGGCATTCACCCACAACCTTTTTATAACATGAACAACTCTGCGACAGATAGTTCAGAGGCCACGCTCGCTCCGGAGGCCAGTGACTCATTCAACCTGCACCTGGGCTTTGTGCGAAGACTTGGTGAAACGGAGGCTTATACTGGTCTGATTTGACTTAAAGGGCACGTAACATGGAAAATCAACATCACAGCTTTTGACCATACTTGCCTAATTCCTTCTTATATACTCACTTTGTTGTTTTGTTAAGACCAGTTCAAGCTAGAGGTGGGAATTGGCAAAAATGTGTTGATTTGAAAGCATTGCAATATTTGGGCAACAATTCAATATTGCGATTCATAACATATTGTGATACAGCAAGTATTCCAATTCAATTCTGTGGTATATTGCGATTTTTGTCCCTCATATTATTCAAAGGCATTTTAAACATGGAGGAAAATAATACTCTCAGATGTCACATTTATTATGGTCTCTACATGAACTGAAGCAAAAACTAAGGAGGGTAGTGCAAAAAACGTGATCCTTGAACATTCAGGACACAGGACCTTATTTCCAGTGTTGGGCACGTTACTTTGAAAAAGTAATTAGTTATAGTTACTAGTTACTTCTCCCAAAAAGTAACTGAGTTACTAACGGAGTTACTCCACTATAAAAGTAACTAGTTACCAGTAAAAGTAACTATTGCGTTACTTTTTCGTTTTGTTCTGGAACATAATGTGCACCCGACGTGCGCATTTTTACCTTTAATAGTGCCAATATTTCCATCTAGAAAAGGCTGTTTTGCTGCTGAAGTCCTGTTCACTCTTCATCTCTCTCTGTGCTGTAAAGCCCGCCACTGTGAATGTGGAAACACCGGTGACGAGCGGTGAGGCTGGTGAAGCACTGACTTCAGTCCAATCAGATGAACATATACATCATATAAATCAAGTGGACAATTTGTTTGGCTACAGCAAAATATGTTTTATTCCCGCATTGTTTGTTCATACAAAACGCAAAACTATGAGTTATGGGTCTTACCTTATAGCTATACCTTATAAATGACCTGCACAGTCCACTTCGGTTCAGACCAGTTCCTTGTTTAAATCCAGTGAATGGTTTGAGCGTAGATATGTAATCCTCCATTTGGAAATGAGTCCAATGAGTTTTAAAAAGTAAAACAAAACGCGTGTGTCCTCCATAAACTCCTGTTTTGCTGCAGCCGGCTGCATCCAATTTCTAAAATCAACCGTGTTACACTTCACCTCTCTTTCTTATCATTCTATAGTAATTGAAAAATTACCCTATGTGCATTTTAGATTATGTAAAAATGTGTTATATGTATGTTAGCCAAACATGTTGCTGTCCTTAGCAGATAAACCAGGAAGAGCAAGGAGCTTATCGATGGAATTGTATGCAGCCGACTTCTGCGCTCACATGCGCTCCTCTGTGGCTGACCTCACGGTGATACAAGCCGTGGTTGAGCGCGATTAAGACCCATATTTGTTTCAAAAACACGATTTATGAGCCATCCTCTCAACTGTAGACATGTAGATTGTAAAGGAAATATGATTTAAATCAGCCAATAATTGCTGAGAGGTTTTCTCATCCTCCCTTCTCTCATGACAACACGTTCATTGTGCGTCTTGAGTAACGCGCAGTAACGGGATGTCGGAAATGATAACGGCGTTATAGTTACTGTCAAAGTAATTAGTTAGATTACTCGTTACTGAAAAAAGTAACGGCGTTAGTAACGCCGTTACTAGTAACGCCGTTATTCCCATCACTGCTTATTTCAGACCAGACATTATTCTCTGAAGGCGCACTCTCGCATGAATGGGGAGCTCCCGGGACATCACTCACATTATTAAAATACCCCCTTGTTCCTCTCACCACATTCTCCATTATTATAGTCATAGTTCAGTTGTTCTTCCCACTTTATCGCACTGAAATTATAAAATTCCTGTCTATGTATAGTTCTGTATGTGCATTTGTGTATGGAGGCGCTTTGGCCAGTTGTCTATTAATGATTAAACGTTACTTACTTCAGCCCTTCACAAAAGCAGATGCCAACCCAGAGCTGGCAGTTTAGCTTAGTCCAGAGTACTGACTGTCCCTACAGTCACACTTTCACTTCTTAGTCTTTTTTTCTCCTTGTGGTTAACCTTCAGGAGCTGGTAGGAGTGTACTTTGGTCATGAATATAGAGAATGTGATATTCTGACCCAGAGATAGTCCTTCCAGGTCACTAGTGTTTCAGTAGGCTTTCTAAATATAATTTTACTATAAACATTTACACATCTTTCTACGCTCATGCATTTCTAAAGCTTGTCCTCTCCTTTCTGTGTGTTTGTGTCCCAGGTTTAGCTGCTAGTGTCCTGTGGAAATGCCGCTGAGGTTTCGCTCGGTCGTGCCCTACACGCTGCCCGGAGTCCTCGCCCTGATCGGCTGGTGGTGGTACATTTCCCGGAAGAAAGACCGACCTCTTGAACACTGCGAGCTCAAGAGGCTCCCATCCGCCGCCAGCCTCCGCGCCTCCCCCACCGAGCGAAGCAACGGCCTGATCGAAAATGGCACCAACTCCCCCACAGCAGAGGACACCCGCTCGGACAGCCCCTCGCAGCTCACCGCAAAGAGACCGGAGCACTCACACGCGCAAGACAACGGAGACGCAACTACTATTGGTGCCCAGGAAATCAACAGCTTGAAGAATGAGACGCGAGACAGCTTGCCATCGTCAGAATCGGACATTTGCGAGTCAAAACAGGAGCTGGTTTTGTCCGCGCAGCTTACCAAAGTTCCCAGTTCGGATCCCCATATTTCGGAGGAAGAGAGGCCTGAACCGGAAGGAGAGGTCGCAGCAGTATGCACGGTTAACCCTTCGCAAAGAGTGGCACCGCAAATCGAAGTAGAAGCGCCAATATTGTTGCAGGAGTTCCACCAAACTGTCCTCACGAGCACACAGTCTTTGCCGGTATGTACGGAGGAGACGAAAGAATACACATGCGAGAAAGTGGAGGAGGAGAATCCAAAGGAAACAAAGGCGGATTTGGACCTGCTAGCTGCCGGGTTGATTACGCAAGTCATTTCAGCGGCAACGCAAGAAGTCCTGGGAGACGCAATGTGCCCGGTTTTGGAAAGTACCAGAATTTGTTTGCAAGAAATGGACAAAACTGAGCTCGAGCTGGTTTCGCGGACGAGCGCAGAGTTCGAAGAGGAGGTTTTGAACGGATGTGACGCCCGTGCGGACATTGCGTCGCCAAGAGCCAAAAGCTCGGAGCCAAAAGTTGAGGAAAGTTTAGAGGAGGAGCTGGGCTGTAGTACCTGCCACTCGGAAGTCAGCAGCGAAGACCTGCACCCGACAGATTCCATCCAAGTCACGGATTTGTCGGCACAAGAGGAAGAGACGACGGTAGGAAATGGCTTACATTTTGTCTCCAGATTCGATTCAATTCAATATATTTTGTATCGCCCTAAATCACAACAGTATTTATCTGTATAAATATATAAAAAGCAAAACCGTAGAATTTGTCGCAATTTTTGTGTTCAAACTCGAAAATTGCAATGATAAAAAAACACATGGAGCCATTGGGGCCATAAGGGGCAGATGATAAATGTTCGTAAATGTTGAAAAATGTCGGGTGAGTGGGTGGGACTTCAATACTGCATAATTATTTCACTTAGTATTTGCACCTCTACAAAGACGGATCATTTAAACTATTTATTTTTGTGATCAACTATTTTGTCTGATCCCCTTAAACAAGGTGATTCAAAAAAGAAATTAAAAAGTTGTCTCAACCTTGTTTTCTTCAGCTCTAAGAGATGCCTTGTGGATGAATTGTTCTATAAAAATAAACTAGCCTTGCTTTTAGTTGGTTTGATCAGGTTAACCTCAAGTGTACTTTTTTATTTGGATCAATCTAAACTAGTCTGAGGAATATAGAAGAGATTTGTACCTCTGTACCCAGAGCAGAGTAGCATTCTCAGTTAAAATTTTCCTTTTTGTGCTGCATGATTTTGTCTGATCCGCAGACGCAGGTGGAGACTGTGGCGGTGGACGGCGTGGAGCAGACGGCGCTGAGCGAAGACGGTTCCGTGGAGGGAGTGTGCGACCTGAAGCGGCTGAACGGGATGAACAACGGCGCTCATGGCACAGACGTTGAGACCGACCAGTCCGGGGGAGAGGGTCAGTCTTGGGCTCTTCGTCCATTTTCTCACGCTTCATCCAACTCCTTTTGGTCAGATATAGTTATAGATAAATGGATTTATGGATCCCCGTCGGAGAAATTCAGGTGTCCAGTAGCAGCAGAAAAACATCCATCCAAACAACCAAAAAAAATACATGGATATTTCTAAAAGTAGCTTACAATAGTATTAAAATATAAATATAAAACTGAACTGAACTGAACTCTGAACAATTGTAAAAGCGCTTTGGGTGACCTTGGTCTGTAAAATGCTCTATATAAATAAACATGGCTTAGTTACTAAAATGACACTGCACTTTCGGTCACAGCAGCAAAGGTGGTGTAATTAAATGTGAACTAGTCAAGGGCCAAAAGAATAGAAGGAAATCCATTTTCTTATATATTTACTTTTACATTATGACGGTATTTTGTCATGACGTTAATGTGACATGAGTTTCAATATTTTCTGGTAGATTTTTTTGAAAACTAAATGTGTTTTTTTAGATTTAACCAAAACTGGACCAAATAGAAAGTTAAACACATTGTAGTGATTTCTCCATTCTGAGATGAATAATAAAGAATGGATGAATGATAAAGAATCTTATTTTATGATGGGGTTAACATTTTCAAATACTTCTAAATGTGAGTGTTTTTCTGAGTAAAATAGTAAAAGTAGTATGTATAACAGTATCTCTTAAAGTATTGTGGACAACTGAAGCTAGACTAAAGCTAAAGAAGTCTTAAGTATTGTGGACAGATGAATGTTTTTGATTAATTATTATGAGGTATTTTGGTACAATAGTAGTTTATCACCACGGTGTATGGAGTGAATGAATTACACGTGAATTACACCCTATAATTATTTTTATTATTACTGTTTTTGATATTGATCCTGTCTTTGTCTGCTCAGGCTCGGACGTCAACAGCATGGACTCTGTGGACAGCGGCTGCATCGGGGAAAGTAACCACAGCTTGTCCGGTGCCGAGGTCACGGTCTGGGAGATCGAGGTGCCCAAGGTAAACGCTGGTTAGCTTTAGCTGGTTAGCTTTAGCTGGTTAGCTTTAGCTGGTTAGCATTAGCTGGTTAGCATTAGCTGGTTAGCATTAGCTGGTTAGCATTAGCTCGTTATTTCAATGTAAAGCGACCTATAATTGGGACCTAGATGTCTGAAGAACCTTTTATAAAGAGGAAATGTGATCCACTTTCTATGTCTAGCCTCGTTCTCAATCAGTCACCCTGAACTAGTTTGTAGTAGTCTTAAAGGTATATTGGAGGATTTTCTATTTTCCGGGTGGATCATAAAAACTATTTTTTTCTTCCCAATTGTCAATTATTCGGGTTATACGTGCTCCTCAAATAAGACCAGACAGTTCTGTTCAAAAAGTGGAGAGGGTGGTTCTTTCCTAAAAGTTGTGAAAATCCTCATATACCTTTTTTAAGTGGTAAATATATGATTGACATGAGAAATGAAGTATCACTAGACTAGACTAGACTAGAGTAGTAGGAGCAGCAGCAGCAAAAGCAACAACAAATCATGTATATATAAAAAGAGAAATATAGATGGATAGATATTTGAAATGTCCTAAATAACATATTGATGAGTCATGAGTGTCGGGTTGAACCTGGAGTCTGCATTTCCTCATTCTCAGCTAATGGTTTTAATTTCTGTCACTTATTCATGACATTTAGTTGGATAGATGCCCTGGTGCTGTCTGTTTCTTTTGAAGTAGCGATCCCTGTTTAATTGTATCAACTCACGCCAATATTCAAATCAATATATTTGTGTAAGACTTAAAATCACAACAGTAGTAGTCTCTGAGGGCTTTACAAAGCTGTGGATTTCCCAACAGAGGAGTTTGAAACACAATGTAAAGATAACAAACACAAAGGTTAACTCATTGTGTGCCATTGACGCATTAATACGTAAATTGCCTTTTCCGCTATTTTCACGTTCCCAGATGTCTATTGTATCTAATATGTATGGGGATGACTTGAGACCATATTTTATTGAGCCAGCAGGTGGCAGCATTTCTCTCTGAATGGTTTGAAAACAGTTAGATGCACATGTTCTTTCTGGTGATTTCAGTAAAACTTCCGTCTACTCGACGGAGGATTACAGGGGAACGAAAAAAGCTATAAACAAAATTCTTTTTGCTGAGGAAAGTAGACAGTCCATTCTTTTAGAATCTTTCAGATAGTCATAGTACACAATATTCTGTGGGTCTTTAAAAATCAGTAAAAACCATCAGAAACGGCTGGCAATATGGAAGTACCTGTTCTGAAATGGGCTGGCAGTCAATGAGTTAATATGGAGCGGTATGAACACTGTCTAAAAATATTAATAAATGTCCAATAACATCACTTTCCCCACACCTTCTGTCTAAATGCTCCAATCTCAATTCAAATTAGATTAAATATATTTTTTGTATAGCCTGAAATCACAACATCAGTAAAATAGTGCATTTTGCAAATTTACTATTAATATATTGAAATGAACTGTAATGATTTTTGTGTTTCCCGCAGCACCTGGTCGGTCGGCTGATCGGGAAACAGGGCAGATACGTGAGTTTCCTGAAGCAGACGTCTGGAGCCAAAATCTACATCTCCACTTTACCGTACACACAGGAGTTCCAGATCTGCCACATCGAGGGTCAGTGCCACAGCTAGGAGTCCGGACTAAAACTGCTGCTTTTTAACTTATCACGAGTGATGCACCGATACCATAGACTTCGTACCATAGAAAGTAAAGTAAACAAGAGTTTTATGAATTCCCAGGGACAACACAATGTAGTACTCGTATCTGTACTCAAAGCTAAGTACTCGTATCTGTTTTGAAAAAAGCGGTATCGGCACATCCCAAATTATAACACATTTTGCAATTGTTGCTAAAAAATTTAGTGTGTGTGTGTGTGTTACACACAGCACTCAGAGAAAACAGGAGCACTCAGAGAAAACAGGAGCACTCAGAGAAAACAGGAGCACTCAGAGAAAACAGGAGCAGACACCGGGAGAACATGCAAACCCCACGCACAATAAAAATCAAATAGAACAACATTAAAATAATAAAATAAAATAAAAACATTTAAAATAATATAACACATTATTAAATTAAAACCAATTATCTATATACATAAAACAAAAAAATATAAATAATGACCACACAATTCATGCAGGGGTAAAATCCAGAGTAAACGTGAACTTATTGACACTGATATATCTACAGGTTTTTATGTTTTGAACTGTTTTAACGATTGCTATATTTCCGTTGGTTCTCAGGGACGCAGCAGCAGGTCGACAAAGCTCTGGCTCTGATCGGGAAGAAGTTTAAAGATTTGGATTTGACGAATCTGTACAATCCTCCAGCTCCGCCGCTGTCGCTGCCGTCTCTCCCCATGACGTCCTGGGTGAGGCCTCACTAAAAACAGTTAAGACAGAGTTAAAAGCGGCATGAACAGAGGATGAGTGGGTGAAGACATTTGGTTAAAGTACATGCCTGAATATGGAGCAATTCTTCTTACGTTACTAAATGAAACTTGATAAACTTTGAGCGTGAGTCCCTGTGATCTCTTTGCTGCTCTCTGATGTGGAGGAGTTTTTAAGGCAGTAAGATCCTTCAGTGATCAGAGGTCACACGTTTGGTTTGTTGTTATTTTGGGGGCATACTGTGACGTGCAAAACTCCGGTTTTCTCAGTCTACACGCAAATGCATGAACTGAGTTTTCAAAAATCTCCACTTTGCCCGGAGGTTTTTTATATATTCGTTTATGATGCGTTGTCATGTGGATGACAGGTGCAAACGAAGACAGATATCTGCGGTTTAGCAGATAGACGGCCGGGGAGAGAATTCAGAGTAATTTCAATCAGGCAGTATGTAATAATAGAAAGCAATCCTAATGGTCATTACTATCACGCTGTTGTTGCCAGAATCTTCCTGTGACTCATTGCTGATGCAATCCACCTGCTGTGGTAAAGCTAGTTTAAACCACCAGAAAGTACTTTGTACAAACTCTATCTACTTCCATTATAGATATATAGATCCACAGAAGTTTGGTTCTATATTTTGTGTGAATTTACTTATTAAAATATTTTGTTTTCGTAAAAAGTTGGTGCCAAAACCAGTTAAAAATGTTACCTAACAAACTCAAAACGCAAATGAGACCCTCCTGCTGTGAAGTGGTAAATATTCAGACTATAATCATCATTTCAATTGTATTTTTCATTAAGAATAACTACTTTAAAGTTCCATTCAGAGGCAGCAGTAAAAGCAAAGACAGACTTCCGTCCACACACTTCCAGCGCATCAGAAAAGATTTAATATAATATGGACGTATATCTAACCCTTTTCTGGGGACACCACAAGATGTAGATAAAAATAATACATACTGTTTCTTTTTGAATACACTTGGAAATGCTTTGTAAAGGCGATACTATTTAAAGGAGATATGCAGGGCTTAAAGTTTTCCGGCACCGTGCCGGAAATCCGGCGTGAGAAAAAAAAAAAAAAAATCCCTTTTTTTTTTTTTTAATATATATATAAATAAATAATGATTGCCGTCATTTGAAAAAGGTTCAAGTGTGTTCTACCAATTGTATGAAAGGATTGCATGTGTATAGCGCAGGGATTAAAGAGTTCCGTCTAAGTGACGGATTTCCGTCAAATGAAATTGGTCTGAAAAAAAAACAAAATATATAATAATAATATAATACACACAATGAAATGGTTAATTATAACAAAATATATAGTAATACGTGTGAATCTGTTGTATATATCTAGATATATATTAATAATTTGAATATAATTGTATTTATATGTATATAGAAATAAAAAGTAACGAGTGGGCCTTGAACGTGCCTTGGCTAGCTACATGAGCGCTCCGTAAATGATTCAAGGCAATGGGACGTAGCCAAGTTAGCGATGGTAACACGGAGGTGAAAGTTTCTGAAAAGTGCACGGAGCTTTTGAAAAGGAGAAGAGGACAAGGAAAATGTAATCCCGAACGGAGCAATAACAGCCAGCAGCCCGCGGACCGGTAAACTGGGCGCGTTATCAGAGGAAAGGTAGGACATAATTAACGTTTACCAAACGCAATGCTTTTTTATTTAACGGAATGTACAATATGTACTTTGCTGTGACTGGGAATGGGGACAAGCATGTCTTGGTGAGCTTTTGATAATATCTTGGTGGCGATCCCCATGCAAAACTGCGTGATAAAAAAGCAAATCAACGAGAGCGAACGGAAGAAACTCGCTGAAGAAAGGTGTGTGTTAGCAGGTCTTATATTCATTCATCAAAGCTAGCCTAGCATGCACGCACAATCACAATCATGGATCGTTGTTTATGGAAGAAGGAGCTGTATAAGTTGCTGTTGATAACGGAGTGAAAAATAAATGGAGGTTGGCATGGCTGGATGAGGTGGAGACGATGGGATTCTGTTGCTTCATGGTGCAAAAAGATGAAGGTGTCCGGTGCTTGTTCGTACTTCGCTATTATTATTTTTTTATATGGGAGTAATGAGAAAACAGCTTTGGATTCACCACCAGCTCAAAACTGCGCACTTGGCAGCTGTCCGTGCACTTTCCCACACTTCTTTACCTGGTGCATCAGATTCAGCGACAACTGAGACTAGGCTTGCTCTGGTGGACTGTGTCTGTGACCTAAAACTATCTGTGGCTTTATCGCAGAAAATAACCTGTCGTTCAGAACCATCACTACCGCTGGTAGATTTAATTATCATTAATCATTTGCAGTTGATAAAACTGCGCTGTGCACTAGCACCAAGTTGATAGGGAAACCTTTTTCTTAAACATTGAGTGTCCACAAACAAATGTGGACAGAATTTTGAATGTCCTTTTTAACATGTTGGGCGGAGGGTTTAATGAGGAGGCTACTTTGTCTGAACAATTAAATAGAGGGAAAAAACCGCATGGTCCAGAGGAGGAAGCAGCTGGTGCAGAGGAGAGTTGTCTGGCTGGTCCAGAGGAGGAGGCAGCTGGTGCAGAGGAGAGTTGTCTGGCTGGTCCAGAGGAGGAGGCAGCTGGTGCAGAGGAGAGTTGTCTGGCTGGTCCAGAGGAGGAGGCAGCTGGTGCAGAGGAGGAGGCAGCTGGTGCAGAGGAGAGTTGTCTGGCTGGTCCAGAGGAGGAGGCAGCTGGTGCAGAGGAGAGTTGTCTGGCTGGTCCAGAGGAGATGATAAAAAGGCTGCAGCCCCACCGCACCAGCCAGACAACTCTCCTCTGCACCAGCTGCCTCCTCCTCTGCACCAGCTGCCCACTCCTCTGGACCAGCCAGACAACTCTCCTCTGCACCAGCTGCCTCCTCCTCTGCACCAGCTGCCCACTCCTCTGGACCAGCCAGACAACTCTCCTCTGCACCAGCTGCCTCCTCCTCTGGACCAGCCAGACAACTCTCCTCTGCACCAGCTGCCTCCTCCTCTGGACCAGCCAGACAACTCTCCTCTGCACCAGCTGCCTCCTCCTCTGGACCAGCCAGACAACTCTCCTCTGCACCAGCTGCCTCCTCCTCTGGACCAGCCAGACAACTCTCCTCTGCACCAGCTGCCTCCTCCTCTGGACCAGCCAGACAACTCTCCTCTGCACCAGCTGCTTCCTCCTCTGGACCATGCGGTTTTTTCCCTCTATTTAATTGTTCAGACAAAGTAGCCTCCTCATTAAACCCTCCGCCCAACATGTTAAAATTGTTGATACACACAGGGGCAGTAGACATTTATGAGAAATCCACCGAGAAGTTGAGAAGAGATTTTACTCTGCTGCTGGATGACCTTAAAAAAATTTAGTTAAACGTGCTAATCAGTGGCCCCATTCCAAATGCAGATGGAAAAATCGAGAAGTTTTAGCCGTCTGTACCATTTAAATTCATTTCTACACAATGAGTGTTCACGCAGAGGACTTGGATTCATTGAAAACTTCAATCTGTTCTGGAATAGGCTCGAGCTCTTTGAAGGAAAGGCCCACATCTGAACAAATACGGAGTAAAAGTGTTGATGGATAACTTTGCATCTGCCTTAAGACCTCAGCCTGCGCAGCGCGTTCAGCCGTTGAAAGAGAGGAGGATACAAAGGGCGAGACCCTCACGGAACCCAGAGGTCTCGGCACCTCCACCGCCTCAAAAGAACTCAACACGTCCACCAGCATCATCATCAGCAAAGGATCCAGCACCAGCAGCAGCAGTGGCTGCCACAGCGTCATCAGCGCCTTCAGCATCAGCACCACCAGCACCAGCTGTGGCTGCTGCATCATCTTCAGCAGCACCTTCCCCACCTACAGCTTCCGTGAAGCCCCCCCCATTGCTACAGGCTACAGTCAGGCCTGCACTGGGGCCTCTCAACCACCTCCGTCTCCACCAAAGACTCCCTCATCACCTTCCATGGACCCGGTTTGGGTCCCCCCCGCTACATCCACTCCATCTAAGGAACATGAGGACGACCTTTCCCTGTGTTTTCCATCACTATTGGATTTACCGGAACACTCTGCAGGCATGATAAGATCGGCGATGAAGAATATTCCTCTCACACCCACTGTAGCCAGATCAAGGGTCCTATCTAACATTCATAACTTCTCCCCATACGTACCTCCAAAGCCACCTAGGGCGTCCAACTCAAATTCTCCCACAAAATCCACCCGTCCCTCAAATTCTAACTCGAATTCACCCGCAAAATCCACAGGTCCCTCCCCCACCCCCCCCTCGTTTCCCATCACCAAGAACCCCTCCACCTCCACTCCCCCCTCGTCTATCTCCCAACTCCTGCCCCTCCCCTAACACCCATCCACCTCCAACCCCCCCTTGTCCAACACCCAAGAACCACCCACCTCTCCATCCTCCTCCCTCCTCTCCCTAGGATGCACAGGGTCTCTGCTTCGCAGCCACTGGCAGTCTAGTTAGAGGAGAGACCCGGCTGGGGCCCTGTCATGAAGCCACCTGTGCCATTCCCTTAGTGATAACACAAAGAATACATTACAGAAAGACATCTGGAGTTAATCAGTCTAATCTGGAAAATCTAATTCTTGTTCCGTGTAAGAATCAGCCGACCACAACCGCTGATACTGAAACTTTGAAACTTGCTATGCTAAATGTCAGATCTCTTTCTAACAAGTCTTTTTTAATCAATAATTTTATTTGTTCTTATAATCTTGATCTTATGTTCATGGCTGAAACATGGCTTGACCAAAATACAGAAAATGCAGTTTTAATAGAAGCATCACCACCAAATTTCAAATTTGAATCTGAAATACGGGAAAACAAAAAAGGAGGAGGCTTAGCTGCCATTTTTAGAGACCACTTTGTCTCCCATAGAATGTCTCTTGGGAAGTTTCCGTCTTTTGAATATGTGTCTTTTAAAATACAACAAAAAACTATCTCCTCTTATACTCTTCATAGTCCTATACAAGCCACCGCAGTCATGTC